CTGGCTCCCCCCGCCTCCCCGGCCTCCCTCTGCACGGACCCTCTAGCAATTCGGGGAGGGTCTCAGGGGGTCCCGTTGCCTTGCGAGGGCCGCCCAGGACACCCCGACCATCGCGCTCGCCTGTCTCCCAACAGTCACTCCGCTTGCACGGTGGCTTTGGCGAAAGCCAGGGATGTCCCTGTCCCCCTGGGCCCGGAGCTCGGCTCCTCTGAGCTGAGCCCCAGCCCCGACGGGACGCGCAGCCGCTCCCGGTCGCCGGGCCCCGCGCTGCTCCGGGACGGCCAAGAGCCCTTTCCCAGGGCCCTCTCCTCCAGGCTTGGCCCTATCCTAGGGGCTGAGTTTCCCTCTCCGCTCCCACCCCAAATTTCCGAAGGGCGAGGGGTACCCACTCTCCGTCCCACAGCATCTCCCGTCCCGTCCCGCTTGGCCTCCCCTCGCCCCAGATGAGACGGGGAGCTCACCCCAAATTCAGCCCCTCAGCGAAAACACCCAGTGAGGGGGAGGAAAACTGAGGCTGGGGCCACTTCTCTCCAAAACATCTCCTCTCGATGTGCTTTATTGACCTCCTCTTGTCCCAAAGCAGCCCACACCCCTTCCCTCTCTCTCTCTCAGCATCTCCAACAATTTATTTTGGCTCATTAAATTTAATTAAGAACGGAGTAGGTGTTCCATATTAAATAAGGGGGGAAAAAAAAGAAAAAGCAGGGCATAATAACCTCCAAGAGGACCAAAATAAAGAATTGCTATTCAGATGTGGGCAGCCACAGTGCAATATTTTATTACTTTTTTTTTCTCTCATTTTTTTTCCCTTTTTTTTTTTTTCTTCTTCTCCTTTTTGCAGTGTCTTTTTAAGAGCATCTAAGCACACACACATAAAAAGCTAGAAGGCATGCATTCCGGAGTTATTCCTATGCATATCCCTGCAATAATTTTCCGCTTTCCTTCGATAAAATTGCCAAATAATAATGAATCATTTCATAAATAATGGGTTTAGAAGCTTATCAGGGCAGGCGGGCCACTGCTGGGGCTTTATCTCTCTCGGCCACATTGCAGTAGTGTTCCGCTCTCCATACTAAATAGGAAACTGGACGTGATGTGGAATTAGAGCCTACCCAGCTGAAGCCACCCAGCACTTACTACAAATATAGCCGCGATGCGTAGGCCACAAAATGGCTCCACTCACTTTTCCCAATGAAAAGCAAATGGTGAGTAGAGAGGAATCCGGCCCTGCAGCAGGTCCGGGAGGTGGGCGTGGAGGGGAGGGGGGTTTTGGGGATACAGAGGGGTGCTTGGGGGTTTTCTGCCCCATCGAAGAGACGGGCAAAGGGGGGGAAAAAAAAATCCAAACAGGTCTTTTCCGCGGTTGGATTTGAATCTTTTCTTCTTCTTTGATGCGGGGTGGGTGAGGAGAAGACGCTTTCTCCTTTGACAGTGCGGGGGGAGTTTTCCCTTCGCTAACCTGGGACCCCCGGGCTGCGGCAGCGGGTAAAGGGGGGCGAAGCGCCCACCGGGCCCCGCTGCTCCCAGATCCCCTCTG